GAGGCCTACCCTACACGAGGGTAATACAATTGAACATAACCCAATTTGCTAATGGATTGACAACAATCCTCAAATCTTGCTGATTGGCCTGATATAGCATGTGGAAAATGTTTTCAATCCCACCAAACAGACCATAAGTAACTTTCGCAGTCTACCATCTTTAACATTAATAAATTTGAATAAAGAGAAAAAAAAATTTTGGGGTAATAGTTTAGAATTTTACATTAGAAGTTCGATCTGAAAGGGATATAAACGTAGTATGTAGAAGGGTTTTCAGAATTAGAGGGAGAGAGACATACGGGAAATGAAGAGGAGAAAAACCAGCAAAATGGTGGTTCCAAGGAATTTTCTCATCTTGATTTTTGAATTTCAATTCACCTTTTGATCTTCTTCATGCCAAAAAAAAAGAGCTTTTTTATAGAGGAAGACTGGTGAAGGGGAACTTTTTGAGATAAGTAGTATGTTTCTGTTTGGAGGACGAAGCATTTAATGCCACTTAATTATCTCAGTTCTTATTCTTATCTCAGTTATCAGATTTTGACAGCGTCGCTGTTAGCAAGTCCAGTAATATTCGTTTTCATACATTTCCATATCTGATCAGTTTATAAAGAATTTAGGTTTATGCAAACAAAGCTTGTAACAGCGGCACTTGGGAGGAAATCCCTTGCATTTCCCATCGGAATAATCTTCTTTAAAGCATGCAAAAATGAAATTGGTTCTGATAAAGCAAACGCCTTTAAAATTCTTCGATGGATGGCGTCGAACACAATTTAGCCTCAGCTTCCATGACGATATCATCAATTTTTCACAAACAAAAAAACTAAGACATGGTCATATATTTTGCAAACAAAGTGAGAAGAAATCAAAATTACACACTACAGTAGTATCATCTTCGTTCAGATGAAAAAAAGTTTCTGAAGAAATGCAACACATTTTTCAATTGTCTCTTCTATCTCGTATAATTAAGCGAACATGAAAATATTCTTCTGCAAACAAATTCTTCTTCTTTATTTTGGAAAAAAATCATCAATCCATCTTGCCCTATTCTTTCCAAAAAAAAAAAAAGGGTTGATAGATGAGAACAGAAGTCCGGAAGAAGAGGCAAAAAGAGTCTTACTGGAAATTAAGAGAAATAAGAGCAATAAGATGGTGGTGGAGAGGAGTTTACTCTCCATCAATATCCTCATCTCCATTTTCATTGGCCTGTCAAATTTGTTCATGTAATAGAAACGAAATAGTCCAACCTTTCTTATAGAGCAATATCACCGGCACTACTGCCATTTTTTCAGAAGCATTAAATTTCGAATTTGTCGGTACTAAAGCCATTTTTTCAATTAATCCCTTTTCCACTTCTTGGAAAATTTGACTACGCAAACGCAAGCTTTATTTAAAAAAGAAAAAAAATTTTGCCGCTGAATTCTTGTGACGCAAATGATCGAAATGGGTTGGTAGATGACGAATTCAATTCACAGTTTTCCCACTTCTTAGCGATGCAGAAGCCGTTATTCACTTCAATGCGTATATATGTTCAGCTTTTTTTCTCTCTGCTGAGGTGGGTTTGAAAAATACAATGTACTTGAAACAAGGGCTAATTTCTTAGAATATTTGTATTTAAAAAAAACAATCCTCAAATGCACCTCTGACAGGTTGCTCAGCACGGCCACATAATTAAAAATCCCATCCCAAATGGTTGACGTTTGAAGGCGTTATCTAATTGGACATAAAATATTGCACACTGTTATGATTGGTTATAATTAGAGGTGTCAAAATGGGTGACTTGGACGGGTTTGGGTTGGGTAAAATAGGTAATGGATATAAATGAGTCAACTCATTTATACCCATTTAATTAGATGGGTATAAATGTGTAAGTCAAAAAATGAATTGGGTAACCCAATTACCCATTTATAACCCATTTATTTTAACTTTTTGTAAACTCATTTAAATTCATTTTTGCAAACTAAGTTATTAATTTATACCACTCTTTGTACCCATCATTAGTTTTAAATATTTACTTATAACGTTCAATAAACTTAATTACCAATTTTTTTTCATTTATACTCTATGTCACAAAATTACCTATTATTTAATAATTGAATAATAAGAATATAAAAATTTGAACTAAGTACTATAAAAATTAATATAAAAACTTAATCCAAAAATTTTGAACCCCTAACATTTTTTTCATATATAAATTTAAGATTTCATTTTATAAAGATAAGAAAATAGGCTAAAATTTATCATAAATTGGTAATGCTAAAAAATGAGCAAGTTAACAAATTAAGAGAAAATAAAATAATAAAATAAAACCAATAAATAATAATAATAATAATAATAATGAAACAAAAGTAGTTAACATCATGACAAAATGAAAAATTTGAAAAAAAAAAAGGTGGGGGAAAAGAAGAGACTTGGGGGGAGAGAATTCTAAATGGGTTAATTGGGTTTGATGGGTTATCCAATAATACCCATTTAATAAATGGGTATTATTGGGTAACCCATTTATACCCATATACAAAACTTTAAAATACCCATACCCATCTATTCATGGGCGTGTGTGGGTAAATTTAGTTAAGTGGGTTGATTTGCCACCTCTAGTTATAATTCTAGCTTCCCTTGGCATCTGGGCAAGGAACAAGTTCCTTCTCCTCTTATTATTCTTCCCTGCTCACTTTTCACTGAAAGTCCTCCAACAAATCGTATCTCCATGTTGGCGCAGCATGAAAGAATTGTGCCAAGATACTACTATCAGTTAGAATCCAACTACAGTTTGCGGTGATTAACATTCTCCCCACAATTTATAGTCAAGATTCACACAATCAGGGCTTTTCTTCTAGAGGCATATTAATCAAGGGAATAAATACAAGCATCTTTTAATGCTCCTCGTTTTGCTTTGAGGAAATTTGGCAACTCTTGGTCTAATATGTCTTTCCTGGTCTTAACATATATTTATAGTTCGGGTATTAATATTTTAAAAGTATAAAGTTAAATCGGGACGTGCTGATGAAAAGAGGGTCACAACACAATTCGCCATGAATGCGGCCTTAGAGATAAAAAAAGAAAAATAAAAATAAATTTTTTTTGCCCTTAATTCTCTATGTTCTGATGAAAATCGTATCCTCAATTTATTGGCTTAAGTTCAAAAAATTGTTAAAATCAAAGGCCAATGCATACAAAAAGACTGCCAAAATAAAAAAGACTGCCAAAATCAAAGGCCAATGCATATGAAAATCAAAGGCTGCCATGACCAGCGCGGACGTGCTGCCCGACCAAAAAGACTGCCATGACCGGACTCGGGGCACGACGGTTGCAGGTGCAACCGTCCCAGGCGGTTTTGGTCATTATTAACTGCGCGTAACTTTCTTTGTACGTCGCGTAACTTTTTTTTCACAGGATGTATTTTCACAACAGATAGTGGTGGGCCCCACACTTGGCGCGAAAATCAAGTTACATGGTGTAATCTCAGCCGCACAAAATTTTGAGGGCAAATCTTGATCCTTAACCGTGCAGGTATGACCGTCCCTGCCCCAAATCCGCCATGACCAGCAGTGTCAGGCGCGGACGTGTTGACTAGGCACGTCTGCCTCTGCAGCCTTCCAACATGATTTTGTTACTTTTTGATCTTACTGACTTTTTCAAAAAAAAAAAATTTTAATTTATTATGCGGCCGTGCTGAGTAGTTTTGAGAAACTCACCTTGTCAGAGGTGCATTTGGCGGATTGTTTTTTTTTTTTTACGTATAATCTAAGAAATTAGCCTGAAACAAGTTACGTTTACTGACGTGATTAGTGGGCATTAATTTGCTTTGGAAAATTGTGATTTGAAAGAATTTGAGTTGGTCTGTAGTTGTTCTGGCCATGACAGTGCAAGAACGATCGAGCTCAAAATGATTGTAATGGAAGTGAGATAATTAAATTGGAGAAAGGCCATTAATTTAAGAAATGGAAAAATGTTTGTAAGGAAATGCAAATGGCATCAAGAAATAAAACATGCTCAAGCTATGTAGAAAGCGATTGATATACTCATCAACTATAACAAGTGTATAAATTAAGTTTCCAACGACATTAAAGATAGATTTGTGTTACTAATTTATGGATAGGAACTTGCATTACTTTACTATTGATTGATGCATGCATTCACTTGGATTCGGCTATTCACAAGGCTTGTAGCAATAGAACTTGGCAGGATATCCCACGCATTTGCCCATCTATACTATACAGCATGACGGAGTAGAGCATTGAATAGCACTTGCCTGTGGTTGAAACTTGAAAGAGAGTTTACTCTCCATCAATATCATGATTTTATTTTTTTTCCTTTTGTCCTGACAAATTTGTTTATGTAATAAAAATTTAATACTCCAACATTTCTTATAAAGCAATATCATAAGTAGTATCATTCTTCAGTAGCATCGAGTTTCAAGTCTTTTGGGTTTATTTTTATGGATGAAAAATATAATTTCATTGCATAAAAAACTGCACTAAAAGCAGAAAATATATCGAGCGTGTCACAGATACAAAAAAATATGAAAAAAAGTTATTAGATCTAACAGATATAGAAAATAATAATAACAAATATTATCAATGCCTTTTGGCTTTTGGAAAGCTTTTAATTCATGCCTTTTAAACTCGTGGGAAACTTTGACTACGGAGACAGCGGTTTGGGTTACAGAAATATAAAATGTGTACAATGATATTCAAACAATGTAAAATTTTTTAATAAATAAATATTCCAAACATATCATTGCAAATGGGCTGGTAAATGAAGTGTTTAATTTATAGTTTGGATTACAAAATTTTTTTAAATTTTTTTAAATATGAGCGAGGGATTTGAATCACAGATTTTTTTACTTTTTAATTTTAATTACAAAAGTACTTAGAAAAGTTTTTTTTTTTTTTTTTTTTTTAGCTCTTTGCTAGCAAGATAAAGTTTTTCCCAGCCAGTAGTCTATACGAACTTTTATATTGTTGGCAGCAGTAATAAATAAATTATTAAAACGATTCAACTTTCGAGAACAACATATTTCTAATTAGTTTATAAGAATTTTGGCTACAATGTTCTCAATTCATTTCATTGGATTTGAAGATGGGAAATTTGCTAGCTATTACTCAACTTGACAGCCCATGTAACACATGCATCGAATGTACTTGCCAGCAACTACTTTGCATTCACCATAAGGATAACTTTCTGTAACGCATGCATCAAAACAATCTTCACTACGGTTGCAAGGACCTTCAAAAGTTTTTGATGGTACCCAACATGTTTCAGCTTCAGCTCCCATGAAGATGTCATCTGCCATTTACAAGCAATCAAACAATCAAAGAGAGAAGTTCATATGCTGTGGTTTCAAGCAAAAAATTAATACTCTCAGTTAATCATAGAGGTTCTGGATGTATTTTCTGATTGAGACGAAGATATCAGAATTAAGCCCGAATGAATGGATTTTAATCACGATTGCAGCCTCGCGTTCTTCGAAGACATTTAGGTTTGGAAGGCCAAAGAAGCGTTTCTTTTTCAAAAAAAAAAATTTTTTTGAATGAGGCCAAAGAAAGCTACTTACATGTTTATGTACAAAGATGAGCAAATTAAGCTAGAATTACTTGAAGAGAATTAACAGTAAATCAAATATCCTCATAGCCAAAACTGAAAAAAGTTGCGATTTCAGCCAGCAGAGGATCTCTTATTTTTTGTTGCTACAAAGTAAGATAGCGAGAGAATCTTACTGGGAATAAATATAAGAAAGAGCAAAAGCATGGTGCCAAGACACTTTCTCATCTCCATAGTTGATTCCAACCTCTCTGATTTCTTCTGATCTTGTTGAACTTTCAGTTATGTCTTTGCAACAAGAAGCTTCCTCTTTATGGAGGCAGACTGGCAAATGATGCATTCATTTCTTGCCAAGTCGAATTTATAAGTCAATTGGGAAAGGAACCAAGGAAGAATTAAAAGATTTACTATACATATTTCTGTAAATTTAAAATCGGGAACAACATTTAAGTAAATTTCAACAGTAAACTTGTTTTTGGACTTTTGTGGTCATCATTAATTTGTTTCATTTTATGTCTTTGTGCAGTATATGTTCTCGTCTTTCCACAGGGGAAAAAAAAAAGCTGCTTGTCTCAATGGTCAATTTTCATATTAAAAAAAACTTCATTTTTAAGTGTGATCACATGAGTATATAATAATCGTTCAGTGACATGATCCCACTGGCGGATCAGCAGGGAAGGGGCGCCCACCGCCAAGATTTTTAAAATCTCTCGATATCCCCTTAAAATATTAAGAGTTTTTCAGTTACATCCTTATAAAAATTAGAACATGCCCCCTCTCCTACCTCCCCCTTCCCCGGTCGAAAGCTTTTTAGAAAAATCTAAAAGTATCCCTTCAAGTGTCCATTTTGAATAATTTTACCCTTCAACTCTTAATCTCTAGTTCCACCACTCCTAAGGGTATGAACCCGAAGCTCTAGAAACTGATCTATGATGCAAAAATTTCTGACACGTCCTCAAATTGATCTTATACATGGTTACTCTCATCCGGGCTTTTACTTCATTTATTTTGCCCAACCAGCCAAAATAAATAAATACATAAAAGGTCTATTTGGTGTAGTGACAGAAAATCAAGAACATCTACTTGTCAAAATATAGGAAAAATCATTCAAAATATTCCTCATATTTTGCAAAATAACTTTTTTCATCCCTCACTTTTAAAAGTGTAATTTTATGTCCCTTATAAATTTACATTGGTCAAATTTGAACCTTATCTAAGTTTTCGACTAGCTTTTTTATCGAAATCCATCACGTGCCTTGCGTGTGATCATTTTTAAGGGTAAAATTGTCAAATCAAATTTTGCATAATCCGATTCATAATCTCTCACATTTCATAAAATGAATTTTTTCGTCCTTAACATTTTATAAAATGAATTGTTTTTTTATTGAAATCCATCACATGCCTTGCGTGTGATCATTTTTAAGGGTAAAATTATCAAATCAAATTTTACATAATCCGATTCATAATCCCTCACATTTCACAAAATGAATTTTTTCATCCCTCATTGATCATGTGTATGAATAGCTTTTTTTTCATTAAACCCATAAATATATCTATTTTATTTCACCTGAACCGTACGAATAGCATGTAATATATCTCTATTTAATTTCATCTAAACAGGCTAATCGTAGTTGTACACATGCTATTCAATAGATATATATAGGAGTTTAAAACTAACAATTTTATTTTAAATCCACGTATATATCTATATGATCTTATCATGTGAATCTATTCAATATTTGTGATCATTCTCTTTTTGTAATAATTTATTTATTTAGTTGTAAAATAAAATCATCTAATTAATGGGTTTTAAATCAAATTTTATAGTCGTGCTAACAAATTACAATTTAACTCTAATATTTCTACTCGTCACTTTTTAGACCAACAGTTGAATTATTTACCTTGTGATTGTTTTAAAATTTGAAAGTGCCAATCACTTACTTCTTTTTATTATACTTTTCTTTTATTTATTTTTTCTGTCTAAATTTAATTCGATATAAACACTCAATAATGGTTAGAATTAAATGTCTTCGTTATTTTCAATTTTCGAGTAAAAAAATGAATATGAGTGAAAAACTAACAATTTTTTTAAACCCATATACATATATCTATTTGATTTACCTAAACAGTACGAATAGCATGTAATATATCTCTATTTGATTTCGTCGTTTGATTTTGCCAGGCAAAATCAAATAGAGATATATTACATGCTATTCGTACTGCTACATTAAAATTAAATAGATATATACATGGAATTAAAAAAACTATTCACACATATAATCAATGAGGGATAAAAAAATTCTTTTTGAAAAAAGTGAAAGATGAAAAAATTTATTTTGTTAAATGTGAGGGATGAAAAAATTCATTCTGTGACCAAAAAAATTATTTTGCAAAATGTGAGATCCCCAAAATATATTTCTTGCTAAGTACAAGTGCACATGCGGTTCTACATTGTTAGGCTACGCCGACAACAATAAATCTTGATGCACAAAATGTAAACTTTGGAGAAGTGGTATTACTAAGTTTGGATAAGAATCCAGGTCTAATGAACAATTACAAGTAGGAGTGCTAAACTTTGAACGTTTAGTAAGCGATATTTTGTACTAATTTTGTACTTTAATTGTTTATCCTCAAAATTCCTTTGTATTATTATACACAAGGTTGGTAAAAGAACTAATTTAGTTAGTACAGATTGATTTGACTCTCAAATCTTTCTTCTTAAGTTTTGGAGTCTCTACTCGAAAATAATAAATAAAAAAAAATTCATCCAAGTTTTGAAGGCTCTACTGAAAAACAAATAGTGGTGCTAAGGAATTTGTCTCTGTCCTGTCGATCCCCGTATAAGCATTACGTAAGCAGCGTTACTGAATTCAAGTTAGATGGTAGATGGTAGGGAAGCTTTTACCTTTTTGTTTTTTTGGCACCAGGGAAGCTATTACTTGAAAATCGTCCGCATCATAGCAAATTTACGCAAACAGGGGTAACCCTCATTAATTTCCACGTTTGTCCTAGTGTGCATTAAGCTTTACTTTCCTTACCCCGACGAGTTCTGATGGGATCCAGTATATTACTACTGTATCATTACATCCACCCTGACGAGTTAAGTTTATTAGAGGACGCGTTGTGCTTCAAACTTTTTCTTGAAGACGGATTATTCAAATCTTGTCACAATCTTCTGTTAGCTTTAAGATCATTGTAAGCCTTAGGATATGAACCAGAAGACTTAATAACTGTTTTTATCACGGATTCACTGGCCGGCAAACAAACTAACGGATAGAAACATTGTCCAAGTGAATACTACTCCCTTCGTCCCACTTTGGTAGTTCTATTTTCCTTTTTCGTCTGTCCCAAATTGTAGTCCACTTTCCAATTGAAGAATGTAATTGTATTTTAGTTTTCCTAAAATATCCTTATTCAATTTAAGTTGTTGTTACTATAAACTTACCCCATTTAATGAGAGTTGATTCTTTTTTTATCATCAATTCAAGTTCCCATAAAGTTGTACTCTAATTAATATGAGGGTATTTTAGGAAAATAGCTACCTAAATTGATTGTTTCAACAAAGTTAACTACTTTTTCTTAAACTATGTGAAAAAAAATCAGAACTATCAAAGTGGGACGAAGGGAGTAATTAACTTCAAAATTGATGGGATTGAAAAATAAAGGGTTTTCTAACGATTCCATAACACACCTCATATTCATCAAATCAATCATGTATATATAGGGGTGGCAATTCGGATTCAATCATGTTGGCGGGTCGGGTCTTGATCCGACCCGTCAAAAAATCTGTTGACCCGAACCCGACCTGTCAACCCGTGATGGGTCAGTATATCTGACACGAACCCGAAAATTTTGGGTTAGCGGGTCGACCCGAAATGGCCCGGAAATTAATTTTACTTTATTAATTTATCACTGTAAATTCTAATAAAATCAATTTCTCACAAAATTAATTACATCATCAAGTAATAAAAATTTAAATAAATAATTTCAAATCAAATCCAAAATCCAAAATAAATTAAACACCGTAAAAGTGTTTTATCCCAAACCAAATATAAAATAAATTAAAACGAATTATATTATTTGTCCAAATATAATAATTTTAACTTCACACAAGGTAAATAAATTCATTTAGGATTAAGTAATTAATGCCTTTGAAAAAAAAGAATGATTTAGTTTAGTTAGATAAAATAATTTTTATGTTTATTAAATTATTTTTAATTTGTAAACGGGTCATATCGGGTCACCACGGGTTGACCCGAAATCGACCTGTTTTCTTTTCGGGTTCATCGGGTTCGACCCGATTCTGACCCGAACCCCCAAAACTTCAATTCAAACCCATTAATTTCGTGTTAGGTTCGTGTCGTGTCAGAAATTGCCACCCCTATGTATATACACACACTAATAATTATTATCCTCTTATATATATATACTTAATTTTTCTAATTAATCTTATATACCCTCTCTTATATTTATTTATGTTTCCTAATTAATGTTATATTTTCAAAAATATAACACCTGAAATATATCTTAATGAGTGTCATTGGACACCCATTAAATAAACCCAAGAATATATGTGAAATGAATGATTAAAGCAAAAGATATGTCTTCTTTGTTGATAGGATTTTGCATTAATTCCAAATATTATTGCTTCATTAGTTCGGATTTGACATCTGAAAATTTTGCAATGATTCAAGTTGTACAAGGCTTGTAACAAATGCACTTGCCAAGAAATCCCTTGCACTTCCCATCTGGATAATTTTCACGAGCACAAGAGCGCCGACAAGTTTTTCTAAGAATGCAAGGACCCACAAAATATTTTGCTGGTTTGGAACACACTGCAGCTTCAGCTTCCATGACGATGTCGTCGTCTGCGGTGTGTGTGTATATATATATATATATATATATTCATCAAGTAGTGAGTGATCTATATTTCTATACACAGTAAGAAGAAATTAAATGTGAATTTAGATGGAGAAAAACCTCTATTTCCTATTAATAATACTGCATTTCTCTTGTGCATAATAACTCTAGGCAAAATTGACTAAGATTTGCAAATAGAAGACATTTAGGTTTTGAAGGGGGCCAAAGAAAGCTTCTTTTTTTTTTTTTTTTTGAGTGAGGCTTGAGAAAGCTAATTACATAACTAAGCTAAAATTACTCGAGGAGTATTAATCGTATATCAAATATCACCTTAACAAAAATTAAAAAAAAATTTGTAATTTCAGCCAGCAAAGGATCTCTTAATTTTATTGCATGTAAGAGGGCTAGAGAGATTCTTACATGAAATAAATAGAAGAGAGAGCAAGAGCATGGTGCCGAAACATTTTCTCATCTCCATGGTCGATTCCAATCTCTTTAATGTTTTCTGATCTCGTTGAAATATCATTTATATCTATGCGAAAACAAGCTCTTTTTTTAATACATATCGACAAATCGGCAAATGAGGCATTAATTTCTTGCCGACTAGAATTTTTATGTGAATTCACAAACGAACCGCGGTAGCATTGAATTTTTAAGTAAATTCAAGTTAGATGGTAGTGAAGCTTTTACTTGAAAATCGTCCACTTCTTAGCAAATTTTGCCAACAAGGATAAGCCCTCATTAATTTTCACGTTTGTCCTTGTATGCATTAAGCTTTGCTTTTCTTACTTGGGTGAGTTCTGATAGAATTCGGTGCATTAATGTTGATATGATTGCACCCTGATTGCACCCACTCTGACGAGTTAGAGGATGCATCGTGCTTCAAGCTTTATTCTTTCTTGGTGATAAATTATTCAAATCTCGTCACAATCTTCAGTTAAAGAATATTGTAAACCTTAGGCCTTGTTTGAAAGCCATTTTTTTCCAAAAAATTTTACGTTTTTCATGAACAAATTTTTCAATCAGCATTTTACTTCACGTATATCAAATTATTACAATACATTTTCTTTTACAAAAATTTCAAAAAATAACAATTCAAACGGGACCTAAGGATATAAACCAGAAGGCTTAATAACTGGTTTTTCCACGGATTCACAGGTAGGCGAAACATTGTCCAAGTGAATACTAATTAAACTTCGAATGAAGAATGTATCTGAAATTAATGATTGAAGCAAAAGATATGTCTTCTTAGTTGATACTAGGATTTTGCATTAATTACAATATCAATGCTTCATTACTTTGGATTTGACATCTCAAAATTTGCGATGATTCAAGTTGTACAAGGCTTGTAACAAATGCACTTGCCAAGAAATCTCGAGCATTTCCCATCTGGATAATTTTCATGAGAACAGGCGCGCCTACAAGTGCTTCTACGAACGCAAGGACCGAAAAAAAATGTTGATGGTTTGGAACATACGGCAGCTTCAGCTTCCATGACGACGTCGTCTGTGATATATATTTATCAAATCAAATAGTGAGTGATCTACATTTTTATACACAATAAGAAAAAATTAAATGGTGAATTTAGATGGACAAAAACCACCATTTCCTGTTAGTAATACTGCAATTCTCTTATGCATACTAAATCTGTACAAAATTGATTGAGATTTGAAAATCAAAGATATTTATATTTTGAAGGCCAAAGAAAACTTCTCTTTTTTTTTTTTTTTGAGGGCGAGGCCTAAGAAAGCTACTTACATGAGTAAAGAAGAGCAAATTATGCTACAATTACTCGAAGAGTATTAATCGTATATCAAATATATCTTCTTAACCAAAATAAAAAATTTTGAAATTTCGGCCTGCAGAGGATCTCTTATTTTTGTTGAATGAAAAAGAGAGAACGAGATTCTTACTTGAAATAAATAGAAGAAAGAGCAAAAGCATGGTGACGAAACATTTTCTCATCTCCATGGCCGATTCCAATCTCTTTAATTTTTTCTGATCTCACTGAAATATCATTTATATCTATGCGAAAATAGCTTTTTTTTTTAATACATATCGGCAAATCTGCAAATGAGGCATTAATTTCTTGCCAACTAGAATTTTTAGGTGGATTCACAAACGAACCACGGTAGCATTGAATTTTTAAGTGAATTCAAGTTAGATGGTAGTGACGCTTTTACTTGAAAATCGTCCACGTCTTAGCAAATTTTGCCAACAGGGATAAGGCGTCATTAATTTTCACTTTTGTCCTCGCATGCATTAAGCTTTGCTTTCCTTACCCCGGCGAGTTCTAATAAAATCCAGTGCATTAATGTTGATGTGATTGCACCGACTCCGGCGAGTTACATATCGCCAAATTGGCAAATGAGGCATTAATTTCTTGCCAAGTGGAATTTTTAAGTCAATTCACAAACGAACAATGGACGCATTCAAAGCTTCAATCCCCCCCCCAACACACACACACACAAACCCTTTTTATTTTTAAATTCGCAATCGTAAATTTAGAATCATGACTAATTTGTTTCATTTTATGTCTTTGTGCAGTGTATTTAGCTTCTCGTCTTACTTCTTTCGAGAAACGAAAATTTGACTAATTAAACTTAATCCCAGAAGTCAACCCAAAAGCCGGCAACTCTTGGATTGCTCCCAGGGACCAATTAGTCAATTTTTGTATAATTCTTTTGGCAGAAGAGTGACCTTTTCCACAAGTTCATTAAAATTTTCAATAACCCTTAGTAATGTGACCCTAAGGATATGAACCAGTAGCTTTAATTAGAAACTGATCTCTGATGCCAAAAATTTCTTATACGTCCTCAAGCTGATCTTATCTATGGTTATTCACATCCGACTTTTACTTCATTTATTTTGCCCTACCACAAAAAGTAAACTAAAACAAACAAAATTGATTCCAATCAATAGATGGCTCTCTTCTGCAATGGATAGCAGAGGGTCCGTAGTACCCGAAGGACTCCCGAGGAATCCAGTAGCCAGGAAGTGGCCTAAAAGTCTCTTCAATTATGCCATACCATATTTGGCTCTACACATTTACTATATGGTAACCTCCGTCCAGTGCTTGGAAGAGAAAAAAAAAAAAAAGGATCTTTCAACTGTCAAACTTTGAAAGTGCAATATAATAATTCTGTTAACTAGTCTTGTACCGTGTTTAATTCATATAATGTCGTTGTATTTTTATACACAAGGTAGCTAAATTAAATACAGGAGCGTAGGATTCCAAAATTTAAAATGCAGTATGAATAAAACTTAGCTTAATCTCAAGAAAATAACTTATTATTAAGTAGAATACGAAGATGACAACAATTATGCGTAAATCAATCCAATTATGGATTCCGCATTTGGTCCTCGTTCCTTACCAAAACATTTGACTAATTTCCAATCCCTTTGCCGCAATGAGTTTGCATGTCTTTTTTTATTTTTATTTTTATTTTTGAAAAAAAGAATAATAACAGAGCAGGGGGCATTTAACTTTTTAAGAAGCAAGGAATGAGGCATTAGAACACAGAACCTCTCTACTTTCTGGGTTCACAAACTCAAGTTATTATTGAGTTTTGCATGTCATTTGAATGAAACATAGACCCCTGTCGGCATGTTGTTGTGTCGAGCCTCAAGGAAATAAAGAAAACCACAGCTCATATTCACAGTCCCCTCCTAATCCTACATATCTAATTTAAGTTCCCCAACTCTTCTCTTGTCTCTCTGTATACTACTTTTAATTCGAACATGTCTTCAAGTTCAGGATCATCCCAACTCCGGAACCTTTTTTACAGCATTGAAGATGAATTGCTGTCCGGAGAAATGTTTTACGAGCTCCCACCGGAGTCGTTTTGGGTGCCGAATGGCCAGGAAAAAGATTGGGTTGATCACCACGCAGTAATGCAACGCAAGAGCTCGATGAAGCTTAGTTCTGTCGGGCCCTCAAACCACCATTCCCAATCATTTTCTCGCCGGTTTTCTCCATCTGTTAATCAGAAAAGTATAGCTTCACTGATTGGCTTTCCAATGACTCCAAAATCAGGCTCAGCCGACAGGAATATCCGGCAAAACAAGGCCGGAAATGCTCGCCTGTTCAGAAGCTTGTCTGAACCGGGAGGAAAGGCGTCCGTAGCGGCACCTGAACCGGGTTCTCCTAAAGTTTCTTGCACAGGGAGGGTTGAGAAGGAGAAAGGAAGGGCCAAGAAAGCCTGGTTTTGGAGCAGTTTCAAGACCATTTTGAGAAGCGGATTCGGAGCCAGCCTGTTGGCTAGTAAAGGCAAAGGGGTGTCTCCTTGAGTCGGACACACACAGTAGCGGCCGGTTGGTGGGTTCTGACTTCTGAACTGAAAGCGGCTCAAGTCCGGTAGCCGGACGGAGCAAGATGCTGCGCGGCAAGAATTCTGGTTTTGAAGTGATCTCACACGTGGCTGCCTCTCATTGGCTGTTCAGCGTGAGGACCCATGCTTGGTAGTTGATTGATTGGGGCCGCGAGTGGCGGGAGAGTGAGGGGTCCAACCTCAAATCATTTGCATTTTGCAGTAGTAAACAGCACATCAACAATTTCTCCTTAGCTTTTATTCCTATTAATGGATCACTTTCAATGTATGAATCATGATATTATTACAACCCATCAAACTCACACTATTATGTTCTATCTTAATTTTTCAGTCAATGAGTTAAAAAGGGAGTAGTTCCAGTTTCAAAATTAGGTACACCCGTGGACTTTTATGGCTTAAGAGAGCTTCCAATTTAACAGAAATGAATCACTAAAGGCTCTGTTTGGATTGATTTATTGGTCACCTAGTATCAAATTTCTTGATGGGTGATTGACAATTTCTTGATTTTTGTTAATATAGTTTAAAAAAATTAATTAACTTTGTTGAAAAACTAAATTTAGCCTGTTATTTTTCTAATATTCAGTTACACTAATATTTAGAAGTACGACTAATCATTATGCATTTACATTCATTAGATCATTGTTCGTTTACATTAATTATAACAACAATACTGATGAAAAATTGCACCATTTAAGATATGAATCAAAGCAATTACTGTATTAAATAAAATAGTTTATATTCACAGATAATAAAGTATGTTAAATAAAGATACTTTAGAGATGTTAAAAATTAATCATATTTTTTAAATTAAAAATTGAATTATAATTTAAGATGGGTGAAAAAAATAAGACTATCAATATAGGATTAGGAGAGTATGATATATTGAGTTTTCTAGTGTCCCCTTAGAGTTCTTGTTTGTTAGCACTTTTAAATTCTTTAATTCCTTGATTTTGACCTATAACTCGTACCGCATCTTGCCCATGTCTCTAGTTGTTATAATCAAGTGAACATTTTTAATTGGGTAACCACAGAGTCCACGACACCAAAATCTATTACTGCCCTACCAAAACTAACCCACGAAAAGGATGGACTTGAACAGGCTTGTACCCAATCTTTCAAACCCTGGTGAAATCCACCCAGCCCGTCCATTTGCCAACTCCAAAATCTAAATAAAAACAAATAAATTAAGAATATTCCGATGCGTTTACAATCAAGCGAAAATAATTAGCAGCAATCCCCAAAAACCCAAAAGGAATATTAGCTTGATTAGTTTGACTCTTAATCGCTCTGCTGTCCCCTTCCCTTTGTAAGGTTTAAGACTCTCCCATTGAATAAAAGATTAATTTTATTTATATATATATTATTAGTGCATCCACTACCATCATTAGATATATATCACGCGTACAAATTTTAAATTTCAAAATCCAAAATTTATTTATATATCCATCTAATCGTGATAATGTATACACTAACAGTATACTAAATAAAAATCAATAATTAGTAACAACATATTCTTGGAAAAGTCTGAACCAAGTTTTACTCATCAAGGCAACTGTAGAAAACTACCAATCTCAACAAATGCCTTGAACACGACGACTGTCACAAGTTTCCATTTTTTTTTTCCCCAAATTAATTACAGTGAAACTAATCACGACTGCTCCTTTAATGTTGATGTTCAATGGAGATCTTCCTCCTTGTGTGTGTAAATCACACAATCAGAAGTAGGGCGGGCAATACACGTAAGAACATATCCCTTCTCAATTTGAGTCTCATCCAAGAATGACCCCTCTGATTGGTCTACTGATCCTGAAACAATTTGCCCCACACAGGTAGCACAGGAACCAGCTCTGCAAGAATATGGCAGCTCCATTCCAGCACCTTCCCCTGCGTCCAGGATGTACTCATCATCGCCAACTTCAACCTCATTCTCTTCGCCGCTCGGGGTTATCAGTTTAACTTTGTATGCAGCCGTTGAGGTGTTTCTGAAGGTGGAGGACGGCTTCATACCCAACGCTCTGGAAACATTATTATTATTCAGAAAGCCCAGAGAGCATAATCCCTGATTACTCGAGGCACGGGATTGCACACTGGGTGAAGCTCTCAGCAAGCAAGATGAAGGAATATTTACAGCCGACATTTTCAGACTTGATTGAACCCTAGCTCTGTAACCAACAAACAAGGAAGGATCTGACAGCGTAAAGCCTCTGCAGATCCTGTTCATGGGGAGCAGAGCAGATAAGTTTGAATGAAGATGCTAAATTTCACTCAGTTCGTATCGATCAGGATGAAGAAAACTGATGCCAGTGGGCTCCTAGAACTGGGAGAATAAATTTGTCAGTGGCCAACACAAGTACAAAACGGGATGCAGGTCTTCATCTTCAACTTAACCGACTCTAATTCTCAATCAACTCGATTATTGCAAAAAATGGCGAAATTACATCCACCATGTTTCAGGAATTCATGTTCCATATATCACATGCAAAGAATAATAATGAAGTAGCGCCAACTTAAAATAAGAAAACACTCTAAATCAGCGATTAAAAGAGTAGCCCACGATAGAGGCTTAGCAATCATGTTAAAAATTAGAATAAAAACAAGATCAATTACGGGAAAGAAAATAACAAAAGAAAGAAAGGGACCTTTCTTACCGGCGGAAAAAAAAATAAAAGACCTGCAGCTTCGTAGCTACTATTAGGAGGAAGCAAGAGCTTGCGATGCCTGATATCTAGAATTCCAGAAGATCCATTTAATTCTACTGCTCCAAAACAAAACTCTGATAATCTTTTTATAAACGAGTGACCGATTGCGCTTACCAGTTTCCTGTAAAAGAGAGAGCAATGACGATGAAGTTATATGGTGCTACGCTGCTACTAGAAAATGATGGATGGAGAAAGGAACAAAAGATGGAGTCGAGATCAAGTGTGATCCAAGTGGGGTTAATGCTATTGCTAGGTCCCCCGACCACAGGTGTCCATCGCCTGTGTAGTTCATCGGCACTGACGAGGTCATATTAACGTATTGTAAAGAAAAAAAAACTTGTTTCTGAGGCTCCTAATCCAACCCCTCTCTCTCTCTCTGTCTAAATATAACCTGGCAGGCAGTATTATTATTTTCGAAAATCCGGAGAATAGGATAAAGTAAGAGATTTCCCTAGAATTAGAGATGGCAATTTGTCCCAAGTCCCAATGGGTTACTCATGCCCATGGGGACTTTGGGCGGGATGAGTATTGGATTTTGATATTGGGTTTAAAATGGGACAAATCCCAATTGTACCCATTAATTGATGGGAATATTTGGGAAATACTTGGGTACCCATTGGGCTCAAATAACAAGGGCTCTGTTTGGTTTAGCTATTTTTGGGGGGTATTTTTGAAATATTTTATTATAGCAGTGTATATGAAAAATTTTTACTATAAAATTTTTTTGAAATATTTGATATACTAATATGGATGGGATGTTTTTTGAGTTATTGTATATTACTGTAACATTGTATTTGAAAAACTTATTTTTTGAAAAAATAACCAATCCAAACGGAGTCTTAGATTCAAAAATTATCTTTAACAATTTTTATAGTCATACTAGAGAATATAATCTTATAGTTTTCCTAGTCATTATCCACAAGAATTTTCAACATTTCAGTCAATTTAGACCTGCCATCTTTGGACAATGATAAGGATAAATATTCAACACCTTAAGTACTTTGGCCATCTTGATATATGTTGGAATATGGCTGTATATCTATTTTTTCCTTTATTTGTTAATCCAATTTTTGATGGGAATCCTGAGTATAAAGCATTTGCATGTTTATTTAATAAAACTAAAAAAAAATTTAATAAATCAAAAATATTAAAATTATATAAAAAAATAAAAAATGAATTAAAGGAAAAAAAATATGTAGAAAATAAATTTGGGTATTGGGCGGGATCAATCTAAACCCATCCCAAAGTGATCCCGCTCAAGTTAGTCCCAAAACACATATGGGTAAGATTGGGCCCAAACCCATATGACTCGGTTCCATCACAAACCCAAGCAAATCCCGCCCATCCCGCCCATTTTGCCACCGCTACCTAGAATCTTCACGAGCTTTAGTTCATTCTATACTTCCCTAGCAAAAAAAAATTAATTTGATTGTCAAAAATCTATTGACTCGAACTGTGTCACACCATTTTATCAAGTGATACGATATAATTTACCTTATTGAATATTTAATGATCGGGTCTATCCAAATTTCAAACGATTTTCTGACCATTGAGGCCTCAAACACATTTACTTGAGGTAAACCATGTCGAGGATGAGAGCTCGTGCAGGCCCAATGGGTAACACAGCCTAATTGAAAGGCCCAGACAAGTTGTCACTATTCATTTGTGGCCCAATGCCAGATTTTACCGGGTCAATGGATAGAGGGATGTTTGTATCCGCTGTGAGAAACTATATATCCAGAGAAGGAGAGGGACAGAGGGGGGAATATAGGGAGATTGCAGAGGTAGCTTTATTATTATTATTGTTGCTCTCAATCGTGTCGTGTCGAAATTGTTGGACGTTGAAGAGAGGGGTGTGGAGAAGATGGGTCCGGCGTCGGCCCTGAGAAAGCAAGTTCTCACCTTAACCGAAACCGCCGCTTCCAGAATACGGCAGCTGTTGGAACAGCGGCAGCGCTCATTTCTCAAGCTCGGCGTCAAAGCTCGCGGATGCAACGGCTTATCTTACACCCTTAATTACGCAGGTTCCATTTCTCAAAGTCAATCCCCCTCTCCCCGCCCCTCTTCACTTCTTTATTAGATAATTTTTTTTTCAATTGCCGCATCTAATTTTGCTTCAATTAAGACAAGTTTGTTAAATTTCCTCCCAAAATCTCTGGTAGAGTTATTTGTTCTGGCTTCATCTGTCGTAGATTTAGAACAAAAACTTTTTTCCCTTTATGCCGGGTAGACTTGAATGGATAGGTTAAGGTCTTTTTTTTCCTATCAGTATTTCTTGTTTGAAGCTTACAACAAGAGGGATTTCTGCTAGTGGGTTCTACTTGGCCTGGTTCTATCCTTTGCCCTTTTAGTGAAAACGTTAACTAAAAGGTTGGAATATGAAGATTTTTATTGGTTAATTTATTTTACGGCGATTAAATCCAGAAGATGGTTCTTTTGTTGATTCTTCAGGCTGGTGACATTTTCGAATTGCCCGTATCTTGAAAATTTTAATCCTAGCCAAACCTAGGTTATTTGGATAGATATTATATTGTTCCGTGCATTTGATGAACTTAAGGTGAGTGCTTGGAAACATAATCTGAATAGAAACTTGGATGGTTAAGGGTTTTTTGTCCTTATCATACAAGAGTTCGTTTCTCACGCTTTCCAATTTCCCACCACTTTCCCTGTTCTTCTTTACCGCCATTCCCCTGTACAAAATTTGGAAATAAAAAGAAAAGGAACAAGAAAAGATTGTTCAACAACATTGCTGGACTTCTGTTTATCCATGTACTTTTTGTTCTTTCATTGGTTTGCCTGTGTTGCGGGAATCCCGAATCCCACCCGATGAGAGTTGGTGCAGTGCAATAACTGTTGGAGATAATAAATGATGTTGTAGGATTCAATGTAACCAGAAGACAATGGGCATTCCCTTTGTTTTGTTTCCATAATTTGGTTGATAGTTCTTTGCCTGATGCACAAATTTCTTAAATGTACAGATGAAAAAGGGAAGTTTGATGAGTTGGTTGAGGACAAGGGTATTAAGATATTGGTTGATCCGAAGGCCCTCATGCATGTCATAGGAACCAAGATGGACTTTGTAGATGACAAACTGAGGTATGAAATTCCTTTCTATTAACGCTTAACTCAATTTCAGAAGCATCTCTGCAGGTATAACACAAATTTTGCTCTATTCTTTTCATTGTAGCGTTGTTTCTTGAAATGTGATGTTATCTTCCTTTGAACTACTTCAACTTCAGAAAATATGACTATGATTTAGAGGTTAGCCTCAGAGTTAACTTTGTTCCATGGCAGGGTGATGTTATTTCTCATTTCCTCATGTATAGTGGAACAGTTAACCTTTTTGTGCTGCCTGCTAAAATCTCAAACATCTTTGTTTGGTATGATCAGGTCAGAGTTCATATTTATCAATCCAAATTCTAAAGGGCAGTGTGGCTGTGGAGAATCATTCATGACCATGAGCAGGGAAGAAGCCACCAAAAGAGGTGTTAGTTCAGGGACATAAAAATCAGAATGGATTCCCTGAATGCATGTATCCAGAAATCCATTAGGCATTGCAAAATTTATTGGCAGCAATACATGAAGAGGAAATCATGCCTATAAAGAAACAGAGCACTGACTTGAATAACTGTCCTTCAAAATTTTGTTGGTAGTCTTTCCACTGTAAAATAATGATCCATTGGCTGGAGTCATGTATATACTGTACCCTTGGTTATGTACAGCTTTTGCCAATAAGTTTCTTGGGTTGTTTTTCGACTTTTGCATTTGTGCAACAAACTATGGAAGACTATTCCATGATTTGCTTGTAACATGTGTAGAATCTGATCTCCTTAAAATGATCAGCTCATGTGATGAGAGTTTTGTTGCCTCACTATGTTTAGCTTTGTATAACTTCTTCGGGTTCAAATAGATATTGTGTTGTTTAGTTTTTAATGCCTTGACTCCCATGTAAATGTGACACGGACGCCACTGCTTTCATCCTGTTTTCCTTTTTTCGGTTCATAGCCAATGTAAAGCGCTTTTTTTAATCTGAAAGTTAGAAAATTTGTTAGGGAGATTGTTTGGTCCTTGAGGGTATATTTTTTTGATGTCAAGCGATACAATGAATGGCAGGGACTTTCTGTGCGGCCTTGTATCATTGTTTACTGCTTAGAAGTTATGACAGAAGTCATTTTGGCAGTTCCTACTCCTAAATTCCATTGGAGGAGAAAACAAATAGGATACATTTCCATGGTGGTTCGAAACTCTTCCAAGAACTGCCAGTCCAGACCTTGAATTCTAACAGATTTCATGGTATTACCACCATATCAAGACCAATACGTCAAATTATCTAGTTGCGGAATTTTGACCTCTTGCAATGAGTTTCCAGGACCCTTTGCGAGCAAAGTTTCTGCTGAATTTCAAAGCTATGATGAATACACGTGCAGACAAGAGGAATGTTACCATACATGGGTTTGAGCCATACAATCGCCTTTATTAGTGCCCCATACAGGAGTTTAGACTTCACCTGAGTAAACACAGTTATTGGATGTCAGAATTGTTTAGCGAAGTTAAATTGACATTTAGCACAGTGTGACATCTGATGATCACCAGGCATTGCAGAGTATACATCCTAAAGATAACCGGAGGAAAACTTGACTTCAGATATTTCTGCTTTTGCTGAATTAATGTGCTCTGTGACTATTGCTAATAGCTTGCATTACCAGCTTTTATACTCAACCTACAGCTATACCTTCTTTAAAAAATAAAACAAAACAACAATCAGAAAGAGAAGAAACACAGGATGAAAATAAAGAAGCCAATGCACTGTCCTTTGTTCAAGAAAGGAGTTGCACCAGTACAAATATGATCAGCATTTGTTTCCTTTTAAGGCTCACAAACTAGTTATCTCAAGCGTAGGACACAAATGATCAAACATTAGCATCAGACTTTATCTCATAATTTAAGGATAACAAGATTTAACCTAGAAAGGAGAGGATTACTGTCAATAGCGTTTCAAACAAGTATTCTGTTACGTGCCATCTATAATCCAGAAAATAAGTGTACTTTCTTGGTCTTGACATCCAATTCAAGAGCGTTCTGAAGGACTGGACAGAATCACAGATCCCAAACCAATTTCATCATTTCTCTTAGGTGAAGACAGCCGAAACTTAGACCATTCTTCCAACGCTTTGCGATGTAGAGCATTCATTCGGATATAAGGTCGTCTTTCTTTAATTAACTTCTCAGCATTTTTCCAATCCTCTGCAACGCCAAGAGCTACCAATAATGCACACGTAACTGCCACACTTCTTCCATGACCTGGACCGCAAGCAATACAATGAGTAAAACAGATGCACGAGTTACAAGCCTTTGTCAGTTAAAGAAGTGTCTTATATTATTGAAGGTAGTAAGAGCATAGCATATTTTGGAAGAATAAATGAATCTCATCCACAAGCTGCTGAAAGTAACTTTAGACTTTTGCCTCAGAGAAATCATCACAATAAACAAGCTCATTGTTATACAAGAACATAAGAATTTAAACCTTTAAAATTCTAGGATAACTGAGGCCAAATATACAGGTTTTCCCAACTCATCACGTGGAAGAAAATCTTAAGTTCGGTTTTTCTCCAATAGAAAAACATTCCAGGTTAACATCAAGAGCAGAAAGCAACTCGGATCAACTTGATTGTCTCAGTATATGGCCCAAATAAAGTGAATCCATTAAAAGCAAATAGCCAATAAACAAAAAATAGACTGTGCAATTGCAAGAGGAAACACGCATTGAACAAATTGACTCTCTTTTTTCTTCATCAATTGGTTTTTATGAAGAGTTGCATGGTTAATGAGCACTTCAGCCCAATACTGCCCAAAGAGGTTTCAGTAAAAAGGCTACCATAGTGTCAAGAAGCTCTCAGTTTATTCTTTAAAATGAAAGGGCTGTCCCACAGAAAGATATGAAATCAATCACCAAGCTCCAAAAACAGCACAAAGCGTTCTTGAATATATGTCATGGAGCACTTGTTGACAGAATGACAAGCAATTAACTCCCACTGCATCAGGATAACAAGTTATACAACTCAAAATGAGCTCACGTGAAATAGCACAAAGAGTTACACATTCCCTAAAAAGATGTCAATCCAAGGATGAAGGTAGAATGCGACTTAGAATTTTAAAACAGAACTGGAGGAGATCATTCTTAGAATATAACGTACACAACGGGCATTCAGTATTTTTCTACAATTTTCCATCACAAGACTAACGTGTTGCCTAGTATTTATAACATTATTCCCGTATTGCCTGCTACCCAAAAATTAGTATCAATAGTTAAGTAGCATGAAGAAGTAAAAACCGTCTTTAATCAGTAAAAAAGACCAGTTTTACGACCAAAACAGAGAAGGAAACAGGTACACAGTAAATCGTGAAGCATAGATAGAGGATTCTGGCGCTTCAAATCTTACCATATGCACAATGGATGAATATTGGTGAATTCTGAGCCCTCTTTCTGCAAGCCCACTTCACAGCAGATTCAATCTCCGCAGGCTGAGGTGACCTTGTGTCCCAAGTTGGAATGCACAAATAAGCATGTCCTGAAAGCTCAGTCTTTCTTGGCAACTCACAGGTACAATCAATAACAGCAGGGTTACCAGGGGGCAACTTATCAGGTGAAAAAGGCCACCCTCCAACATATACACCTTCACAAATCTCACTATAAGGCGCTTCACCACTTCTCAGCCTCCTCAATGCTGAGAAGGCTCTAACGAAGTACAAATACGGGCTGAAAATAATCAATGACCAAATGGGAAAAACCCCATCTGAGCCTTTCCCTAAAAGCATTGGGAGATTGATAGACGGATGAGAAGCAATTGAAACCAAGAAAGATATTAAAGATGCATATAAAAAGGGTATAGCAAACCATTTGAATCCAAGATTGTTCATAAATGTAAAGATAGAGAATAAAGTTGCTGCCTTTAGTCCAATAAGGAAAGATATACCCACACCCATTGGATTTTCTTGAATTAAATCACAATAATATGGTTAAAGATCAAGACTTTCGAGGATTTTAGCCAAGGGAATTTTTTTTATTTAATGACCTACATGAACTTTGTAAAATTCGGTACGTGTAAAAGATCGAATGTATACTCGAACAGAAAGAACAAAAACAAGAACGAGGACAAGAATTGGAGAATAAAGTTCAGGAAGGATGAGTGTTAGAAAAGGACAAGTAAAACGAGAGTAAAGAATCTCGTAGGCAGATGATCTTGGTCTGCTGAACAAGTGCTGCTGATCTGCAACCAGAAAAAAAAATTTTCTTTTTTCTGGCTATTTAGACATGGGCCGCTAAACCAAATTTGTTTTCTTGATAACTGACTGGAAAGGTTGAAGGGGCCGCTATTTAGACATGGGCCTCATTGGCGAGTCAATACGACAACTTCCCTTTCTTAGCATTGGAGAACATATCTGCTTATTAAAATTTCTCTACAATGCTAGTCTTATTGTACGGATATCTGGTGAACTTTTGAAGCTTTTAACACACACACACACAAAAAAAACTTTTGAAGCTTTTAAGTTTCTGTATTTCATTTTCCGCTGAAGAATGTCATTCTCTGCAGAATTTTTAGAACCTTCTAGCCATGTCATGTTAAGTGGGGCTACAGGACGATTCTTGATTTTTGTTTTTGTTTTGTTTGTCAATTCAACTATCATTTTCTATTTTTTCCTTTTATTTTGTCCAAAAGGGGCATGGCCTGCTGAACTCTGGGTTAACGTTTTCCAGGATTTTGAGTGTGTTAGTAATTTTTGAGATAATTATGGACACTAGATAGGTTTACGTGCGTTGCATGTATAGTTTTGTGGCTTACATAGTTGCACTTTTTCTATAAATTTGCAAAGTTTTACGGTATATGGATATAAGGAAAAGTAATGAAGGCTGGGTATTTCATCAGCATAGTACAAACCGGACTTAATTTCTTGATTAACAATATGGGTTTAATTTCTTAATTAGGGACATGCCTGGAAACACGCTTTTTTAATTCCAGAATCCAGAATGAATGACATCTCATTAGGCATTAGGTGAAGAAGATCATGAGGGACTTATTCTTGTACTCGGAAGTGTACAAAAGGCACTCTTTTTGGATGCTTATCAAACTTTAGTACTTTACTCCAAATGATATGAAAGAGAAAATAAATAGAGTTGTATGCCTGAATATGATGCTGAAATTTTTCTGATTGGGAAATAAACAAATCAAGTAATTCTTTATAAGTCGGCAGTCATAATTTTAAAGAAATGTATTTACTTTATCTCTCATAATATATCCATATTTACGTGTAAACATCACTCGGCTCTACTAACTTGATCAAGACTTACTGAAAATGAGTACGAGTTCAATTTCACCTATGTCTCATTTGAAAATAGTAAATAAAAATTACTCAATTAAATACAAACTGAATGAGATCTTGAAGTCCAATACAAACCGATAAGTTACTAACCATTTGAGGTATAGAACTTAATTCAACCAATCTAAATAGCTTATTCTGTTGTCTGTGAACTAATAGTTGTATCCAAACTAATTACAATCTTCCATCTTACCCACCCTATTGATTACCACCCAATCCCTTACATCTTTTTAATTTTTGAGTAGTTTCGCATTTGCTTAAGTAATATTAGTAAGATTTGAAGATGACATGATTTTTTTTCATATGTTTGTCAGAACTTTTTAGATATAATTAAACTGTGTTATGCAATTAATTTGGAATGAACTTACTATTTCATGTTGTCAATTTTATCTGCGAGATATCGAGCTCTTAACTATTTGATAACTTCTTTGCACCTTGGTGGTTTTTTTAACTGAATTTTATGTTTAGAATTTTTGAGTAAGTGCTAACATAATATTCAACTTAACAACAACAAATGCATAAATGCAATGAGATAATAGAAAATCCATATTATATGGCCATTTATAGGCTGATTGATCCTTGCTAGTACTAATCTACTAACTAATTGCATAAGCATCATAACTAACACTTTAAGGGTCTGTTTGATAACATAAAAAAGTGCTGAATCTGAACTTTTTCAGACATTCAGATGTTTTGAGTGTTTGATAAATGAAAATTCATTTGCTGAACTTGTTAAGTAGTGCTAAACTTGTGTGTATTTTTTTCAGCACAAGAATCCTAACTGAATGCTTAATTCTGATAAACATCAATAGAATTACTTCAACTACCTTATCTTATCTACCAAATCTACCCTTGTTTATTAATTATGTTCAAAATTCTTATATAATTAAACAACCTAATATTCTCTATCTAATGATTTTCTATTTCTTTTTTCTCCCTTTTGAATGACTTTCACTTATTCTCCATACTCCTCATATAATATAATTCATCTTTTATATTAATTTGATTTAAAAATAAATATTGTTATTTTCATACCTAACATTTTTAGCTAATTAAATCATAGGTTCTATTTCTTTTTTGGATGAAAAGATACAAAGGCAAAATTGTCAAATTTAACTTATTAAGCATTCAGTTATTAATGTTTATCAAATAGTATAAATAGGTTTAACATTAAAATTCAGACATTCATAAATTTTTTTCAGTGCTTAAAATTCAACAAATTAATTATTTCAGTATTCAGATTTCAGAATTTAGACTTCAAAATTCAGATTCAGTTTTATCAAATGGAACCTAAGTTGGAAAATGGACCTACAATGTTTTTTATCGTGTATACTATTGCTGCCCAAATCATTTTACCATAGTAAGACATGAAAATTAGAGTCCATTAGCGCCTTGGGGTGTGAGTCCTGGTGTCAAGATATCTTTTTTCTTTAATTGAACTTATGCATTACAACCAAATAGTAATCATTATCAAATCATTAACAAAATAAACTCCATTGATCTCACTGTAAACATAGATTAATACCTTCAAAATACCTCTCTCGTGCAGACATCGGCTACTAAGAAAATCACCAAACTTCACTCTTATCATATTTTTTTCTAAACTTAACATCCCAAATTTATTTTCATTAAAAATTTTCTATCTCATACGGTAAAATGGGATGTAAAATTGTCACAACAAAAAAGGAAATAATTCTTTTGCATGGCAAAATGGGACCTAAATGAATTTGACGTATCTAAATGAATAACACCATAGATTGACAATACAATCATCATCAGGAAATTTAAAAAACAAACATATCCAATTTAGACAGAAAATTTTGATCTTTATTGAATAATCATCATCAAATAACACAACACAATTAACAAAAAAAAAGTGAAAAACCCAAAATAGAATATGAAAAAAGTAATTTGCATGAAATCACTTTTCACAAAGGTTTATGAAATCACTTTTCACAAAGGTTTATAATTTGCATGTACGCATCATTAATTTTGATAGTTGCAATAATCAGGGTATTAGATGTATATTAATACTAACCATTGTCCTTTCTTATTAACTTCTTGAAAAACATACAAACATACAAATTAAAAGACTACTTATAAATTAAGAAGCTACTTACCGAGCATACGAGTAAGAATTATGTACAAATTAAAAATCGAAATAAAAGAAGGAGCAGACTAATAAAGTTCAAATTTTAGCCAAATTGTAAACTTCAGTATTGTTTTAACTGTCCATGGTACTCAATTTTACCCTCAAGTTAACATTTATATAATTTTGGGCATATTAGATAAATCAAAAAAAATAATAAACGCCCATTGGTAAATCATTCAAGATACTTTTATATAATAGTATAGATAATGATAATAGTTATATATTTAGATATTCGGATTCTCACCTCAAGAGTGAATGGATGGAATTTGATGCACATACCTGATATTTGAGTGTACATGTTAATACAAGTGCCATTATGAAGGGCACCATTCTGCCCCGAATAGTACTCATCTCCACTAAACTTTGGCATGAAAATGAGGTAAGGAACCATATACTTATGTATTGTAGGACACTATACAGACGCTGAAAAATGCACTGCAAAAGGTAATTGATCATCAAGAGTTCGCAGTCTTTTCGCAGCTTCCATTTCCGGATTTCTTGACCTCTCCTTGGAATTGATCACATCCCAAGTTCTTGGCACGATTCTCCGCCCTGGCTGACCGCTGCTGCAGTTGTTGCCCTCCCATTGAAAGGATTCTCTGCATAGCTTCCGCTAGGCTTTTCACTTTCTTTCTGTCATTAATCTCATCTGCCGGCTGATGATTTCCATTGTTGTAGCTGCTCTCAGTTTTGCTGCCTTCAGATGGCCAAAAATTTGACTCATCATCTTGCCTTGCGTTCAATTTATAGAGCCTTTTGTACTTCATAACTCCACTGCAAGTTCTACTTCGCTTGATCATGCACCAAGTCCACCCGCCTTTTTATACTGGCAAGCACTCACTTGATCGTGCAAAAGGACAGTGGAAATGACAAGAAAACTGAAGAGGATAGGATATTAGATTGGTAGTTGTACCTTTCACAGCTCAATCTGTCACGACATCTTGATGGCAAAATTGTTGGTTTTTCTAGTTTAACAAATAATTAGCCGAAAGTGGCTTTATTATGCGGCTCTTTGCTATTTTCTGTAGTTTATTTGGCCACCTAACTGTAGTAACTATGTACGCCAGCCAGCCTAGTGTCTGCGATTCCCACTATTTCCATTTATAGTTTACTTGAAAGGGTATCATCAGGAGTTGGCCAGGTACAATCATTCGCAAGCTATAGTTAAGATTGTCCAATATCTTAAATGGTGCGAATTTTAGAGTCAAAATTCCCTCATGTTCGTACACGCTAACTCACCAAGTGATGTACGAGTCTTGCTAGTCCTATGTAGATTTTAAGGTCATTTTCTACTACCCACACACACACACGCACTCTAATGATATAATTAATTACCGGATTAATCTTTTCTATATTATCACTGTAATAAAACTTTTTTTCACTAACAAGGGTACATGAAACATGATATTTATTCAATTTCAAAATTTTCTTTTCCCACACGTGGCATGCGCTCAAGTCTCCTTGTGTGAAAAAATTGCCATAGATGCATGAAAAATTAATCGTTAAAAGAATCACAAAGGACAATTGGTAAGGCTCCATTTAGGCCTAAATATTTTTGGGCCTCCATTTAGGCTCAAAGGTTATTAATAGTTGACCGAACACAAGCCCATCTGCAGCCTGACTGAACTGGCGGGTGAAATGAGTAAATAGATGAGGTGCCCAAGACGCAAAAACTAGTAACGAACCGAATGAAGAGCTTTTGCCGGCTTAAGAGGAAAATCAAGAATCGTTGAAAGTGAAACAATTGTAGAAAAACTTCGCCAGACTTGTAGCTCGAGGTAGAAGAATTTTCAGTTCTGTGATGAAAAATTGTTGTTGAGAGAAAAGGATATAAATGGAACTGGAAAAGGGTGTTCAGAGATGGATTGTAGACATCTCAAAGTGGAATCCTTCTCCAGATTACTTCGCCTCTGTGATGTCATTTCTTCCCCAGCACGAGCATTCTCCTATAACCAGGTCAGTTCCCAAGATTTATTTTGAGGTGCCCTTTTCATATTTCATCAGTTTTGCACAGTTTTCTTTCAAATGAGGTGTTTGGAGTGTGTTTGTTGCAATTGTATCCACTTTTCTGATCACCCAATAGATTAATTTAATCTAGGAA